CTCCAACGCGCCGTACATCGTCAGAAGGCCAACGCTGACCGCCACCGCAGTGAGGCCCCGGTCTTCGTACCAGGGGATCGGGTCTGGCTCTCGTCCCGGAATCTGCCCCTCCGCCTGCCCTGCCTGAAGCTGAGCCCGCAGTTTGTGGGGCCGTTCAAAGTCCTGAGGAGAATCAACAAGGTCACCTATAGGTTATTACTTCCCCCTGATTACCGTATTAACCCCTCGTTTCATGTGTCTCTCCTCTGGCCGGTGGTGGCTGGTCCGCTCCAGGAGTCTGAGGTGTGGGAGGTCCCTCCACCTCCTCTGGACATCGAGGTGGCCCCAGCATACTCTGTCCGTTCCATCCTGGATTCGAGGCGTCGGGTGGAGGGCCTTCAGTACCTCGTGGAGTGGGAGGGGTACGGTCCGGAGTAACGATCCCTCCCTGTTGTAGGATTTCCACCATCGCCATCCGGCTCGCCCTGCTCCGCGTCCTCCTGGCCGTCCCCGAGGCCGGGATCGGCGCGCTGCTGGACTGCGCGTCAAGAGGGGTACTGTCACGACTTCCGCCGAGGCTGCCTCCCCTCCTTGTTCGGGCAGACTTCGGCGTTCGTCGTCACCGACTTACAGGCCACTGCCGCTCCATATATCATCATTCCATTTGTCTTGTCTTGTCAATTACACACACCTGGTTCATATCCCCTCGTTTGTCAGTGTATAAGTGTTCTCTCTGCCCCCTTGTCCTTGTGGGTGATTGTTTTATGTGAGTTGAGTGTAGCTCGGTGGAGTTACTTGTACCTTGTATTGCCGGGGTAGATTATTCCCCTGTGCCTGTATTTTGTTGGAGCTATCCAGCGCAACTGGGTACGACGGAATAAACTCTGTATTCTGTGATTTACCCTCCTGCGCCTGACTCCTTCTAATCACACTCATCACACCATTGTTCATTGCACCAATTGTGCAAGTTCTCCCACTTAAAAAGATGAGAGAGGCCTGTAATTTTCATCATAGGTACACATCAACTATGACAGACAAAATGAGAAAAAAACATCCAGAAAATCACATTGTAGGATTTTTAATGAATTTATTTGCAAATTATGGTGGAAAATAAGTATTTGGTCAATAACAAAAGTTTCTCAATACTTTGTTATATACCCTTTGTTGGCAATGACACAGGTCAAACGTTTTCTGTAAGTCTTCACAAGGTTTTCACACACTGTTGCTGGTATTTTCCACGCAACTTCATCTAGAATTGTTGAATGAGTTTCCTGTAAACAATAGATATTATATTCCTTCTCTTTGAGCCATGTAAATATTGTTCTTCTTTTGTTATTATCTGCTAAGCCATTACAATTATAACTGGCTATACTTATTTCACCACATACCATAATGAGATACAAGTTTCAAATCTATTTATCATTATATATGTTTGTAAATTTATTAATAAAAAATACCATAGTGATTGAGTGTCCATATAGCTGTACCATGATATTTGCATTGCTACTAAGTAACCCTCCAATTGTTCTCCACTAATTTCCCTGCTAAAGCCCCTCCCCATCCCAAGTTGGGCCATCATCCCAGTGATCGGCATACCACCCCCGTCCCCCTGGATTCCTAGGCCCCCGAGAGGCCAGGACCCATCCATCGAAAACAGCACACAGTGCCACCCACAAAACAGAAGCAGGTCAACCGCATTTCCAATGCTCTCACCTCAATATATATATATATATATATATATATATATATATATACATACAGCGGGGAGAACAAGTATTTGATACACTGCCGATTTTGCAGGTTTTCCTACTTACAAAGCATGTAGAGGTCTGTAATTTTTATCATAGGTACACTTCAACTGTGAGAGACGGAAAAAAAAATCCAGAAAATCACATTGTATGATTTTTAAGTAATTAATTTGCATTTTATTGCATGACATAAGTATTTGATCACCTACCAACCAGTAAGAATTCTGGCTCTCACAGACCTGTTAGTTTTTCTTTAAGAAGCCCTCCTGTTCTCCACTCATTACCTGTATTAACTGCACCTGTTTTAACTCGTTACCTGTATAAAAGACACCTGTCCACACATTCAATCAAACAGACTCCAACCTCTCCACAATGGCCAAGACCAGAGAGCTGTGTAAGGACATCAGGGATAAAAGTGTAGACCTGCACAAGGCTGGGATGGGCTACAGGACAATAGGCAAGCAGCTTGGTGAGAAGGCAACAACTGTTGGCGCAATTATTAGAAAATGGAAGAAGTTCAAGATGACAGTCAATCACCCTCGGTCTGGGGCTCCATGCAAGATCTCACCTCGTGGGGCATCAATGATCATGAGGAAGGTGAGGGATCAGCCCAGAACTACACGGCAGGACCTGGTCAATGACCTGAAGAGAGCTGGGACCACAGTCTCAAAGAAAACCATTAGTAACACACTACGCCGTCATGGATTAAAATCCTGCAGCGCACGCAAGGTCCCCCTGCTCAAGCCAGCGCATGTCCAGGCCCGTCTGAAGTTTGCTAATGACCATCTGGATGATCCATAGGAGGAATGGGAGAAGGTCATGTGGTCTGATGAGACAAAAATAGAGCTTTTTGGTCTAAACTCCACTAGCCGTGTTTGGAGGAAGAAGAAGGATGAGTACAACCTCAAGAACACCATCCCAACCGTGAAGCATGGAGGTGGAAACATCATTCTTTGGGGATGCTTTTCTGCAAAGGGGACAGGACGACTGCACCGTATTGAGGGGAGGATGGATGGGGCCATGTATCGCGAGATCTTGGCCAACAACCTCCTTCCCTCAGTAAGAGCATTGAAGATGGGTCGTGGCTGGGTCTTCCAGCATGACAACAACCCGAAACACACAGCCAGGGCAACTAAGGAGTGGCTCCGTAAGAAGCATCTCAAGGTCCTGGAGTGGCCTAGCCAGTCTCCAGACTTGAACCCAATAGAAAATCTTTGGAGGGAGCTGAAAGTCCGTATTGCCCAGCGACAGCCCCGAAACCTGATGGATCTGGAGAAGGTCTGTATGGAGGAGTGGGCCAAAATCCCTGCTGCAGTGTGTGCAAACCTGGTCAAGACCTACAGGAAAGGTATGATCTCTGTAATTGCAAACAAAGGTTTCTGTACCAAATATTAAGTTCTGCTTTTCTGATGTATCAAATACTTATGTCATGCAATAAAATGCAAATTAATTACTTAAAAATCATACAATGTGATTTTCTGGATTTTTGTTTTAGATTCCGTCTCTCACAGTTGAAGTGTACCTATGATAACAATTACAGACCTCTACATGCTTTGTAAGTAGGAAAACCTGCAAAATCGCAGTGTATCAAATACTTGTTCTCCCCACTGTATACTATATTTTAAAATGTATATCCCTCATCTGCATAAAATTGAAAGCTCTCTCTCATAACCCCTGCTCACAGACACACGTTAGTTCTGGGATATGCAACCATTTCCTTTCTCACTCAATTAACGCCACACTTTTTCAAACACAAAAACGCACACCACACCTTTCATCACAATTCATCCACACATACCCACATACTGTGCCTTCTATGTCTTCTGTTTGCTATGTTTTTATCTCCACTATGTTGATTGAGTACTTGTGTTCTAATTTAGTTGTATTTGAAGATGTATTATTTTGCTTGTTATCTTTTCTTGTAATACTGTCTTATCCCTTTATAAAATACTATAAATGTGCTTTATTATTACAATCCCTACCATGGCTAGTATTGGGTGTTCCATTATTCGACTCCTCTATTAGAACTTTCAGAATAGCCATGGAGTATTCTTTGTGTCACGGAACATTCGGTTGTCAATATACAGTCTATCGACAACGAGAGCAACACGCTTCCCTTTTAATCTATTTTCCTTGAAGTTAATCGAGAATTTCAATAAGCATTTTGCTACAGCTGGCCATGCTTTGCACCTGGCTACCCCTACCCCGGCCACCAGCTCTGCACCCTCCACTGCAACTTTCCCATGCTCTCGTTGGCTGGCCCTCACTACATATTCGTCGCCAAACCCACTGGCTCCAGGTCATCTATAAATCACTTCTAGGCAAATCCCTGCCTTATCTTAGATCATTGGTCACCATAGCAACACCCACCCATAGTATGCGTTCCAGCAGGTATATCTCACTGTTCATCCCCAAAGCCAACACCTCCTTTGGCCACCATTCCTTCCAGTTCTCTGCTGCAAATGACTGGAACGAACTGCAAAAATCTCTGAAGCTGGAGACACTTATCTCCCTCACTAACTTAAAGCATCAGTTGTCAGAGCAGCTTACCGATCACTGCTCCTGTACTCAGCCCATCTGTAATTAGCCCACCCAACTACCTCATCTCCATATTGTTATTTACATTGTTATTTATTTTGCTCATTTGCACCCCAGTATCTCTATTTGCACATCATCTTCTGCACATCTATCACTCCAGTGTTAATACTAAATTGTAATTATTTTGCACTATGGCCTATTTATTGCCTTAAGTCCATAACTTACTACATTTGCACACCCTGTATATAGATTTTCTATTGTGTTATTGACTGTACGTTTTGCTTTTGTTTATTCCATATGTAACTCTGTGTTGTTGTTTTTAATCGCACTGCTTTGCTTTATCTTGGCCAGCTCACAGTTGTAAATTAGAACTTCTTCTCAACTGGCTTACCTGGTTAAATAGAGCCAACTAAAGCCCCCCCAGCCAAACCCTCACGATGCTGGGCCAATTGTGCGCCGCTCTATGGGACTCCCGATCACGGCCAATTGTGATACAGCCCGGGATCAAACCCGGGTCTGTAGTGACGCCTCTAGCACTGATGCAGTGCTTAGACTGCTGTGCCACTCAGGAGGCCCTATACGATTAGTATTTTTAAAATACAATGGCTTCCTTTCCTTCATCAACACTGATGAGTGAATTGGACTGAATAGGTATAGCTTTCCATCCGTCATGTTCTTTTCAGATCAGTGGTAATGAAAGGTAAGGAAAACAGGGGAGAACACTAGTTATTCCATTTAGTGAGAAAGTACCTTCTTTCTCCAGCTCACTGACTCCACACCTTTTGACTTTGAACTTGGCCAGGTAAGGAGCTTTGGCAGCAAAAAACTGAGAGACAAAATAGGGATCAACAAAACATTAGGATGTATTATAAATTATTTAAGAGAACTTAGTATGAATTGATTACAGTAGTTTCATTATTAATTGTTAACTCAAACTAATATGATTAGGCCTGTGCACCCTGTAGCTCTCTCATAGCCTGAGACCAGATCCGTTTGTGCTCTTGCACATGTTTGGCATGACAATTTCATAAGGAGTTGCCATGAGAGCAGAAATACTGGTAGCCAGTCTAGCTCTCTCGTATCAGAGTTGAAGAACAGTGGCGTAGACCTACCTCTGCATGGGTGTCCCAGACTTGTAGTCTATGTCCAGTACTATGACCTCAGGGTTAATGGGTAGGAAACAGCCAGGCTGGACCTGGATGTCCGACAGAGCCCTCAGACAGGCTCTCTTCCTCTTGTCTCCCTTGGGGATGGGTCAAACAACACAACAACATCGTAAACAAACAAAGACCGAACTCTTTACCTGTGGCTCTGCTTGTTGTGCTCAATCTCCATCTACATCCCAAATGGCACCCTATTCCCTACATCGGCCCTGGTCAAAAGAAGTGCAGCTAGTTCTAGTCAGCTCTCATTATCAGCCCTAATGAGTTAATGCTCCCTTTCTTACTCAACCTGTTCCCCTCACCTTGTGTAAACATTCCCTCAGCAACGCAGCACTAATGGGCTGTCAGGACGCCTCGTATCACTTGTACACTTAGGCTGCATCACAAACGGCAACCTATTCCCTATATAGTGCTATACCTTTGACCAGGGCCCATAGGGGGCCATTTGGGATGCAACCTCAGCAGACACTTAGGTAGGCAGGTACACTGATCAATTAGTACATAGGTAAAACAGCAAACAGATGGGCAGGTAACTGGGGAGCTGATGGGGCAGAATGCTTCAGATGGCTGAATAATCACACAGACACAGTGAATAATAATGGTTTAACAACAGCACATTTCAGGGAACACATTAGGGGCCACTAAGCCACATTCACAGCAGTGGAACGTACCTATGGGAACAGGCCTGACAATAAACATCTAGGCCACCAGAGGAACTCATTAGCATTGTGGTTTAGGAGTGTGTGTGTACAGTGCCTTGCAAAAGTATTCATCCCCCTTGGCGTTTTCCCTATTTTGTTGCATTACGACCTGTAATTTAAATTGATTTTTATTTATGATTTCATGTAATGGACATACACAAAATAGTCCAAATTGGTGAAGTGAAATTAAAAACATAACGTGTTTCAAAAAATGCAAAAAAGATAAATAACGGAAAAGTGGTACGTGCATATGTATTCACCCCCTTCGCCATGAAGCCCCTAAATAAGATCTGGTGCAACCAATTACCTTCAGAAGTCACATATTTAGTTAAATAAAGTCCACCTGTGTCCAATCTAAGTGTCACATGATCTCAGTGTATATATACACCTGTTCTGAAAGACCCCAGATTCTGCAACACCACTAAGCAAGGGGCACCACCAAGCAAGCGGCACCATGAAGACCAAGGAGCTCTCCAAACAGGTCAGGGACAAAGTTGTGGAGAAGTACAGATCAGGGTTAGGTTATACAAAAATATCTGAAACTTTGAACATCTCACGGACCACCATTTAAATCCATTATAAAACAATTGAAAGAATATGGCACCACAACAAACCTGCCAAGAGAGGGCCGGCCACCAAAACTCACGGACCAGGCAAGGAGGGCATTAATCAGAGAGGCAACAAAGAGACCAAAGATAACCCTGAAGGAGTTGCAAAGCTCCACAGCAGAGATTGGAGAATCTGTCCATAGGACCACTTTAAGCCGTACACTCCACAGAGCTGGGCTTTACGGAAGAGTGGCCAGAAAAAAGCCATTGCTTAAAGAAAAAAAATAAGCAAACATGTTTGGTGTTCGCCAAAAGGCATGTGGGAGACTCCCCAAACATATGGAAGAAGGTACTCTGGTCAGACAAAACTAAAATTTAGCTTTTTGGCTATATCTGGCGCAAACCCAACACCTCTCATCCCCCCCGAGAACACCATCCCCACTGTGAAGCATGGTGGTGGCGGCATCATGCTGTGGGGATGTTTTTCATCGGCAGGGACTGGGAAACTGGTCAGAATTGAATGATGATGGATGGCGCTAAATACAGGGAAATTCTTGCGGGAAACCTGTTTCAGTCTTCCAGAGATTTGAGACTGGGATGGAAGTTCACCTTCCAGCAGGACAATGACCCTAAGCATACTGCTAAAGCAACACTTGAGTGGTTTGAGGGGAAACATTTAAATGTCTTGGAATGGCCTACTCAAAGTCCAGACATACCCCAAGAGACTTGCAGCTGTAATTGCTGCAAAAGGTGGCTCTACAAAGTATTGACTTTGGGGGGGGGGGGGGGGGGGGGGTGAATAGTTATGCACGCTCAAGTTGTCACGCCCTAACCTTAGAGGTCCCTTTTATTCTCTATTTGGTTAGGTCAGGGTGTGATTTGGGTGGGCATTCTAGTTTGTCTATTTCTTTGTTGGCCGGGTATTGTTCCCAATCAGAGGCCGCTGTCTATCGTTGTCTCTGATTGGCGATCATACTTAGGCAGCCGTTTTCCCACCTTAGTTTGTGGGATCTTGGTTTTGTGTAGTGGCTTTGTAGCCTGCAGTACTTTACGTTCGTGTGTATTTTGTTGTTTGGTCTGTGTTCATTTATTGAATTAAAATGTTCGCCTACCACGCTGCACCTTGGTCCGAGCCGTCTATCAACGAGCGTGACACAAGTTTTCAGTTTTTTTGTCTTATTTCTTGTTTGTTTCACCCAAAAAAATATTTGCATCTTCAAAGTGGTAGGCATGTTGTCTAAATCAAATGACACAACCCCCCCCAAAATCTATTTTAATTCCAGGTTGTAAGGTAACAAAATAGGGAAAATGCCAAGGGGGTTGAATACTTTCGCAAGCCACTGTAGGTTTGTGTGTGTGTGTGCGTGCGTGCGTGCGTCGGGTGTGCATGGGTGTAGGAGGTGTGAGTGTCAGGGCCTACTTGATGATGGCAGACAAGTTGGTGATCTTGTTGAAGAAATCAAATTATCGCTGGTAGAAATATTTTGCCGGACCAGACAGAGCACAAGTGATCTCTTCTACCATCTGTTCAAGTGCTCCCCTATGTCAGCTACTGAGAGAGAGAGAGAGAAAAAAGAAGATATGAGTGTGTGTGGTAGCTGAGAGAGAGAGAGCCTGTCATCTCCTCAACCATCTCCGGCAGGTACACACACAGAGGAGAGCTAATTAACATTGTAACAGTGTGTGCGTGTGTATGTTGTATATGTGTATGTCTGTCTTATGGTCTTTCTGGTGTCCCTGTGTGTGTGTGTGTGTGTGTGTGTGTGTGTCTGTGTGTGTCTCACAGTCTTTCTGGTTCCCCTCCTCGTACAGGTAGATGTTGGTTTTCATGTTCCAGATGAACTGGTGGCACAGCAGCTGAGACCTCTGGGCCACTCATAGATTGTACTCTCTCTAGGGCTGTCCCCGACTAAAAAAAGTATTGGTCAACCGAGAGTCGTCTGTTCGTTCGACCAATCGATTTTAAAAGCTGTATTTTTCCATATATATTAAATCAAATCAAATCAAATCAAATGTTATTGGTCACATGCGCCGAATACAACAAGTGCAGACATTACAGTGAAATGCTTACTTACAGCCCTTAACCAACAGTGCATTTATTTTTAACAATTTAAAAATAAAAATAAAAAGTGTTGAGAAAAAAAAGAGCAGAAGTAAAATAAAATAACAGTAGGGAGGCTATATATACAGGGGGGTACCGGTGCAGAGTCAATGTGCGGGGGCACCGGCTAGTTGAGGTAGTTGAAGTAATATGTACAGACAAGTCCTATGGGTTTTAATCAAATCAAATATATGCACTGAGTTTATCTGATGCTTTAAGCACTCTGTTTGATGAAGTAATTAAGACACGCAAATGAGGGAGTCTGACCGCAATTGATTTGATTGTGCCAAGTCAGGCTCAGACTTGCTGCGCTGTGTAAAGAAAAATGACAGCGAGTGACTGTGTAACTAGTACCCGTTGTCTGTCTCTCCTCCCTGCTGCAGCGACCACCACAGAACATCAACGGTGTTTATCACGCTGTCAGTGTTGCTAAAGCTGCAACATAATTACAGCCATTTCTGAAAAGTTTTGTTACCGAAATCCCTCATTTGTTTAGGAAAAACATTCCTATTCCCTCAACCCATGCTCTCTTTACGTGACACATGTATGCCTGACCTATAGCATATCATAATGACATCAATAAATTGGTTATAACAAACTCCGATCACCGTAACACGTGACAGCAAAATGAATGCAGAGGACGTGACAAATAAACTTGAAACGGGGGAATGTTCACTGGTTGCTCAGGAGGTAAAGGGGAAGTCAGATGTGTGGAATAAATGTCATTAGTTGTGGAAAATACTGGAGATCAAGAAAAAGGAGCAAGTGCTGCGTGCACACTATGTGAGCCAAACAGGTGCTGTTAGATTACAATATCATTTTCCGGACCGTTTAGAACAATGTAAACAACACTAAATAAATGAAAAGCGTACCAGAGAGTCTGTTGTCAATTTTAATTTTTTTGTAAAACCTTTATTACAGCAAAGACTAAAAACAGTCGCATGCATTCGTGAATGCATTTGCTAAAATGGAATGGTTTATTTATTGTTTTGGCTAATTATTCAAGGGTTGCTTTGTTATTTTATTTTATAACTAAAATGCTTATTGCATTTCAAATCATGAATGACTCATGCTGTGTGATCATAATAATATGCCATTCAGCAGACGCTTTTATCCAAAGCGACTTGCAGTCATGCGTGCATACATTTTTTGTGTATGGGTGGTCCCGGGGATCGAACCCACTACCTTGGCGTTACAAGCGCTGTGCTCTACCAGCTGAGCTACAGAGGACTGTGATGACATGAAAAAATTTCATGTTTGATTGATACAGTAGCCTATATAAATATTGAAATATGTGACTGACCGCCTTGATTCAGTCTTATGTAGAAAAATTTGAAATTGTGTTTTTACATTGGATAAAAGCAGAGACACAGAGCTAAAAAATGGTATAGCATACACTGCATTTAAGGGAACAATGGGAAAGTAATTCTGCTTTTAAAGTTGATAAACTTGTAATCTCACTTCTGAGAAAATGGCCTTTGAATGTTTTGGTACCTACTGGAGAGCTCTACTTTGTCTACACCCATTCAGCATCGTTCACACCCTCTTAAGCTTTAGTCCCACCCATCTCGTTTTGCTATCAGAGTGCACACTGGACGTTCTGGCCGATGAGTAGGGTTAATCCGAGCGTTCTGACCTCACAACGGCAGACAAGCACCCAAGCTAACTGGCTATCATTGGCTTGCTTGCTAGCTACTTCCAGACACAAATGAGAGAACACCCCACTGACCATTTTACTCGCCCTAGTAAAGCTGGTTGTTTTCATGTTATCCAGAGCGTTGGTGACTGGGGTAGATCAGCTTTAATATTGCATATAGATTGTAACTTCCATCAATATAATAGTCTGCATCACTTCCAAGTCCCCATATGTTTTTTTTCTCTCGCAAATATATATATATATATATATATATATATATATGTACATACACACACACACACACATATATATATATATATATATATATATATATATACACACATATATACATACATACATACATACATACATACATACATACATACATACATACATACATACATACATACATACATACATACATACATACATACATACATACATACATACATATATACATATACATACAAATACACATACACATATCCTTTTTAAAAATATATATATTTACCTTTGTTACTTTCCAACCGCACCACCCCTTCCCTAATTGGAGTAAACTAGTGAACAACAATGCTTAGGCCTCTACTTCCAGCTTATAAATACTATATACATTTTATGGACACAGTCAATATTACAATAATTCTATTTTGTTTGTTTTTATTCCTGAACTTCCTCTACCCTCAACCTCTCCGATCATTTTCATGATGTCCATCCGGTTTGCTTCTATATGCCATATCTTTCTAACTGTGCTCTTTCACAAAAGCTCTCAACCTATAACCTATAGACTTATTTTGGACACAGTATGCTTACATTATTAGTTATCTTTTTGTTATTAGTTGTTGTTAGTTGTTATTAGTCCCATCCTTCAACTCCATTCAACACCACCCATCTATCTCTTAACACCATCCATATTGGATTTCTATTTGCCATATATTTTTCAACTGTACTGTGATGTTTTACAAAAGTTCTGAACCTTTCTATTCTCATTGTTTCTACAGATTGTAAATTGAAAATAAACGTTTTTGCTAAAAGTATTATTATATTATTGATCGATTGACAATTACTTTTCAGATCACCCAGTCTCTTCTTTGTCTACACCCATTCAGATTATTCACACCCTCTTAAGCTTTAGCCCCACCCATCTCGTTTCGCTCTTGGAGCATTCAGAGCGCACAGTTGATGCTCTGGCCGATGAGTAGGGTTGATCTGAGCGTTCTGACCTCACAACGGCAGTCAAGCACCCACACCAACTGGCTAACATTGGCTAGCTTGCTAGCTACTTCCAGACACAAAATTGGGATTATGGTTCATTGTTTACCTCTGGATAACATGAAAACAGCCTAACTAGCTCTGCTAGGACGAGTTGAATGGTCAGTGGGGTGTTCTCTCATTTAACACCCCACTGACCATTTTACTCACCCTAGCAGAGCTGGTTAGGCTGTTTTCATGTCATCCAGAGCATTGGTGACTGTAACTGTGCTGCTGGCAACAATTTATTTACGCTTTTTTGCCGACGTTTACTGACACCGGCCATATTCAACTGATGTTGTGCGTTCATAAATTAATCAGTTATTCTGCGCTCTGGCATACTCAGACTGAATTTACGAACGCACCCGAAATGGTTACTTGCATAGTGGAGTCTTTTGTTAAGACATGTAGATAATAATAATAATAATATGCCATTTAGCAGACGCTTTTATCCAAAGCGACTTACAGTCATGCGTGCATAAATTTTTTGTGTATGGGTGGTCCCGGGGATCAAACCCACTACCTTGGCGTTACAAGCGCCGTGCTCTACCAGCTGAGCTACAGAGGACCAGATAGTTAGATAGCTATCTAGGTTAACAATTAACCATAATCCTAACTCATGACGTTACTACCCTGCATGAATCTGCAGGTAGCTAACCAACCAGGTTCAATGTTAGCTACCTAACATTAGGCTATAACTAGCCAAGCAAATGGCTCTGAGATACGAATAATAAGATCATACGTTAGCTAGCAAGCCAGCCAGCTAACGTTAGCTAGCTAATGGTAGTCCTCTGTAGCTCAATTGGTAGAGCATGGCGCTTGTAACACCAGGGTAGTGGGTTCGATCCCCGGGACCACCCATGCGTAAAAATGTATGCACGCATGACTGTAAGTCGCTTTGGATAAAAGCATCTGCTAAATGGCTTATTGTTAGTTAAACAATGAACCATAATCCCAACTCATGACTTTGCTACTCTGCAGGTAGCTAACCAACCAGGTTCAATGTTAGCAAGCAAATGGCTTTGAGATACGAATAATAACGTCATACATGTAACGTTAGCTAGCGAGCCAGCCAGCTAACGTTAGCTAGCTAGCTAACAGTACACTTTAACTTGAAATGAAACCACTTTCTGTAAAAATTAGAAACATGTAATATCAAAAAATGTAGCTAGCTAGATTATCTTACCCGTATACATCATGCATGGATGGACGCGTCTCCCTGTCACGGATGCCATGGTTGCCCTTAGTTTGAAGATGTAATCCGGAGACAGGTGTTCTCTCCATCTCTTTAGCTATCATACTCTAATTCTACTGATTTCAAAACTTGATCGTCCAGAAAGTGGAGAACAACACTTATGCAGCTCCACTACACAATATATTTTTTTGTTAAAAGCCGCGTTAGACAGGATTACTTACACATACTAACCAGCTCAAATAGACAGAAGTGTGCTATATGGCAGACCAATCCGAACTCCTCTCTCGGCATGTCTAGCCCACTCATTGTCTCAGGCAATCATGGCTAGTGGGAAGGTTGCTGTCTTTTTCTGTGGCTTAACCAACTAGGCTGGTCATTTGACACTTTTATTCGTATTTACAGATGGCATACAAGTTTGTTATTAAGGCACATGAAAGTTCACATGTTCCAGAAGGAATTATTTGCCAAAAAACACATTTTGATTTGTAAAATAAGTTTACGTTCAAATGGCTCTCCTGTGAAGTAGTGACCCGCGACATACGCCTAGTTTCCTGAAACGAGTCACATTTAGGCCTAAGTAAGTTACGCTATTAAGACTAAACAGGATGCGTTCTTAGGCCTACAGCTCGATGGTGGTTATACAAGGCTGCTATACTAAGCCTACTAATGAAAATGACATTACTTACTATAATGACCATAATAATAATAGTAATAATAACAAGAGAGAGATCGAGAAAAAGGAGGTTTATTATTATCATAATAAATATTATTCTTCGGACAATTTGGAACAGCGTAGACAACTCCAAATAAATAATAAGTAATACCAGAGAGGCTTTAAAAAAAAAAAAATAAAGGGTAAAGCTTTTATTACAGCATAGCAACATGTTGTTGTTGTGTGAGGCTTGGTGCTCATGGAATCAGTAGGCTATTAAACAAACACTCAAACAGGCAACACAAGCAGGATCTGTCTTATTTCTGTAGATATATGGATGGTTTATAAAGCCAGGCACATTTAACAGTTAGGCTATTGATTATAGACCTAATTAAGTTGGGGTTTCTTCTCTCCTCACTTTTCTTAGACAATTAAGGCAAGGGCTGTTTTCTCATCTCCTAACTCTGCTGCTGCCTCCGTCACATTGTTCTCAACACCATGCTGGTTAGCTTTGCTATTATGCACATAGCAACGTGGTCTAGGAAAAGGCGCCAATTCAACAGCTCACTGATGTTTCAGAACTGCGGACAAATGCGGGAGAAAGCGCATTTGTTATAAAATAATATAATTTTTATTGGTGTTGCACCATTGTCCTTAACCATGTACAATTTCAGTAGCACATGCCTTATAGTGATGGACTGTGCCCTCCCACGGCCTCAACAATGGATTAGTCCACTCAGACAGGCACGAATCAGACAGTTGTCTTGTACACCATTCATATTTTTTTTTGCTACTGCTCGACTAAAGAAATGTCGGTCGACCAACAGCCTATCGAGCAAACAATTGACCAGTCGACTAAATGGGGTCAGCCCTAACTCTCTCACAAAGCCCATCTAGAACACACACACAGAACATCAGACAACGCAAATGCATCACACACACCAAGCATGCACACAAAAACACCTGCGTGCAAACATGCATGCACAAGTATACACACGTACACAAGAATGGTGTGCTTTACCTTGTCATAGCTGAGGGCTTGAACTACTTAAGGAATATAGAACAAAATGGCATTGTGTGTGCGTGTACCGGGGGAAAGGAGCGCAATACTTTCATCCCGTACTGAGCGGTGAGGGAGTGGGGGTTATATGGAGGAGAAGTAAGAGAGGCCGGTCGACGGGTCGATGGGAGCCCAACACAGGATATGGCTCAGCTGTGGAGAGTCTGCATAGATGGTGTGCCATGTCACCAGAAGCTGGACACCAGAGAGCGAAAGAGTGAATTAAGATACACTGATTAATCCTAGTCCTGAACAAAAGAGTATGCACAATGAAGAATCTCACATTTTAGTTTTTGCCCTAGCACTAACACACTTAATTTAACTAATCAACTCATCATCAAGCCTTTAGTTGAATCAGGTTTGTTTGTGCCCATTGTTTGCAGATCTGAAGGGAGAAAATAATGTGTAAACACATACACAGTACAGTCTCCTCAGTCTTGAATGTTTCTAAGTGCAAATAAATCAACTGAGCTAACTGCAGTAAGTGCAGCCTGAGAGGGGCCATCGGGTGGTCTCAGGCACGAGGCACCCTCTCTCACCTTGACGGCTTCAGGTACGTCACACACAGCCGCTGGGTCCAGATGCACCAGATGAGTCACCTCCGCCACAATGGACTCAGTATTCTTAAACCTGATGTATCCATAGACAGATTACCTTTGAACATGAATAAATACATACAGCCATTTGAAATCAAATCAAATTGTATTTGTCACATGCGCCGAATACAACAGGTGCAGGTAGACCTTACTGTAAAATGCTTACTTACCTTAACCAATAACTCAGTTTTAAGAAAATAAAGTTAAGAAAATATTTACTAAATAAACTAAAGTAAAAAAAAAGCAACACAATAAAATAACAATAACGAGGCTATATAAAGGGGGTACCGGTACCAAGTCAATGTGCGGGGGTACTGGTTAGTCGAGGTAATTTATACATGTAGGTAGGGGTAAAGTGACCATGCGTAGATAATAAACAGCGAGTAGCAGCAGTGTAAAATGCAAATAATCCAGGAGGCCATTTGATTACTTTTTCAGCAGTTTTATGGCTTGGAGGTAGAAGCTGTTAAGGAGCCTTTTGGATCTAGACTTGGCGCTCCGGTACCACTTGCCGTGCGGTAGCAGAGAGAACAGTCTATGACTTGGGTGACTGAAGTCTTTGACAATTTTTTGGGCCTTCCTCTGACACCGCCTAGTATAGAGGTCCTGGATGGCAGGAAGCTTGGCCCCAGTGATGTACTGGGCCATACGCACTACCCTCTGTAACGCATTACGATCGGATGCCGAGCAGTTGCCATACCAGGTGGTGATGCAACCGATCAGGATGCTCTCAATGGTGCAGCTGTAGAACTTTTTGAGAATCTGGGTACCCATGTCAAATATTTTCAGTCTCCTGACGGGGAATAGCCGTTGTCGTGCCCTCTTCACAACTGTCATGGTGTGTTTGGACCATGATAGTTTGTTGGTGACGTGGACACCAAGGAACTTTAAGCTCTCGACCTGTTCCACTACAGCCCCGTCGATGTGAATGGGGCAATGTTCGGCCCTCCTTTTCCTGTAGTCCATGGTCAGCTCCTTTGCCTTGCTCACATTGAGGGCGAGGTTAATGTCCTGGCACTACATTGCCAGGTCTCTGACCTCCTCCCTATAGGCTGTCTCGGCATCAAGTTTACAGACTTTAGGATAAAAGTGCATTATCGTACTGTACATTCTCAAAAGCACAATGTTGACAACTTATTTCAAGTGAGAAATAACAAACCATAGAGTGTAGGATATAGTTCAGTGTGTGTGTGTCTGGGGACGCGTACTTGTGTGCCTGTGTGTGTATGTGTGTGTACCTTGCGTACTTGTGTGCCTGTGTGTGTATGTGTGTGTACCTTGCAGGCAGCTGCAGTGCCAGGAAAGGAGCTATACTCCAGGCCAGGTTGACATTGTCTTTCCATTGTTTCTCACTCAGGCTGATGTACATGGACCTCCAGTTGGTGATGCTGGTCTCCACAGACTGCTCTGTAGCTATGGCCAACTCTGAGATGTATGCAGATTCTAGTGTATTCGCATGAAAATCTGTCGCCAATTAGATGGAAACCTAGCTATAGCAAGTGAGAATTTATTCAATAAAGTACCTATCAGCAAACCCAGCGCTAGTAAGAAAAGACCAGTGTGTGTTATAGCAAAAAAGAAAAAGGTACAACAGTAAGGTATTAGTTATCAGTAGGGCCAGTAGCAGAGTCCTCCTCTTCATGTAGTAATTGTGCAGCTGAGACCCTCTATTGATCTTTTTAGACAGCCCTGGAACAGAAGGGTATCAACACAGTCATGAAACTGAGGTCTGGGTGTTGTTTTGCTGCCCTACCTGATTTAATGCGGCCCGTGCCTGGCAGTGAGTTAATGGTCAGTTCATTGGAAGTTGAGGTGTGTGTGGTGCGTGTGTGTGTTACCTGGTTTCTTGGATATGATGGATATGCCAGAGGACAGTGGGCATGTGTTTATCCAGCCCTGAGCCACCTGCTGTCTCTGGCCGACTGCTGCGTCTAGACTGCTCCGACTGTCTGTCACCATGGCAACATACATACTGTTCACTGACATGTCACTGGGGACATGAAGCAGGAAATAGAATTACAGTGCCATCTGTAGACATTGTGGCTACCCGCCTCATCTAAGTAATGGTAGGGGGAAACAGTAGGCATGGTAAACAGTGCTTAGGCCTCTCTAAAAATGTAGTTTAGATCTGTGTTCTACCTGTACTCAGCATGGGTCCCAAATGACACCATATTCCCTTATATAGTGCTGGTCAAAAGTAGTGCACTATCTAGGGAAAATTGTGAAATTTGGGACGCAGCCTCAGGCTTTAATAAAGAGCAACTGCCTATAAAAAGCAACATCTTGTTTTGAAAATGGCCTATGTGGCATCGACATGAGTCAGCAACCTGTATTCTAGTGTCAAAATTGACTACAAAGTGTAAATAGGATAATTGTAGTCATATAGTCAGTCTCGTCCAAAACGGAATGGTACCTTAACAGGTTTCAATGGGGTTCTATTTATTTTAGCTGAAGCTAATTGGCGAAAGAGACAGCCACATCAACCACACCCCGAAACCGCTAGCAACTCTTAATGAACCAAATCTAAAACGAGGTCAAATCAGGAAGTGCAGTCACACTTTAAGGGGGAAGTAGGCATACCTGGGGGCACCAGCTGGGTGGCAGCAATATATGCATCTTGTCCGACAGTAGACTGGCATAGAATTTGATCATGATACTGATGTCATCCCTCAGTCTCTTCTCTGTCTGGGTGGGGAGCTCCTACTCTGATAAGCTTTGTGAAAATGGGCCCAGGTTAGATTAGTTCAAGAGTATTTGGTGGACCTACACCTCCATCCAGTAAAGCATTAAAAACAATCAAGCAACCCAGAAAAGTGCTAAAAATAGCCCATATTAACATACAGTGCCTTTAGAAAGTATTTAGACCCCTTTTCCACATTTTGTTACGTTACAGCCTTATTCTACAATGGATTAAATAAATACAAATCCTCAGCAATATACACACACACACACAATACCCAATAATGACAAAGCAAAACAGGTTTTTAGATTTACCAGCAAATTATTATTTACGTAAGTATTCAGTCCCTTTGCTATGAGACTCGAAATTGAGCTCAGGATCATCATGTTTCCATTGATTATCCTTGAGATGTTACTACAACTTGATTGGAGTCCACCTGTGGTAAATTCAATTGAGTTGACATAATTTGGAAAGGCACACCTGTCTATAAAAGGTCCCACAGTTGACAGTGCATGTCAGAGCAAAAACCAAGCCATGAGGTCGAAGGAATTGTCCGTAGAGCTCTGAGACAGGATTGTGTCGAGGCACAGATCTGGGGATGGGTAGCAAAACATTTCTGCAGCATTGAATGTCCCCAAGAATACAGTGGCATTCTTAAATGGAAGAAGTTTGGAAGCACCAAGACTCCTCCCAGAGCTGGCCGCCTGGCCAAACTGAGCAATCGGGGGAGAAGGGCCTTGGTCAGGGAGCTGACCAAGAACGCTATGATCACTCTGACAGAGCTCTAGAGTTCCTCTGTAGAGATGGGAGAACCTTCCAGAAGGACAACCATCTCTGCAGCACTCCACCAATCAGGCCTTTATGGTAGAGTGGCCAGACAGAAGCCACTCCTCAGTAAAAGGCACATAAAAGCCCGCTTGGTGATTGCTAAAAGGCACCTAAAGACTCTCAGACCATGACAAACAAGATTCTCTGGTCTGATGAAACCAAGATTGAACTCTTTGGCCTGAATGCCAAGAGTCACGTCTGGAGGAAACCTGGCACCATCCCTACGGTGAAGCATGGTGGTGGCAGCATCATGCTGTGGAGATGTTTTTCAGAGGCAGGGACTGGGAGACTAGTCAGGATCGAGGGAAAGATGAACGGAGCAAAGTACAGAGAGATGAAAACCTGCTCCAGAGCACTCAGGACCTCAGACTGGGGCGAAAGTTCACCTTCCAACAGGACAACGACCCTAAGCACACAGCCAAGACAACGCAGGATTGGCTTCGGGATAAGTCTCTGAATGTACTTCAGTGGCCCAGCCAGAGCCTGGACTTGAACCCGATCTAACATCTCTGGAGAGACCTGAAAATAGCTGTGCAGCAACGCTCCACATCCAACCTGACAGAGTTTGAGAGGATCTGCAGAGAAGAATGGGAGAAACTTCCCAAATACAGGTGTGCCAAGATTGTAGCATCATCCCTGAGAAGACTGGAGGCTGTAATCACTGCCAAAGGTGCTTCAACAAAGTACTGAGTAAAGGGTCTGAATACTATGTAAATGTGAGATTTCTGTGTCTGTTTTGTCATTATGGGGTATTGTATGTAGATCGAAGAGGGGAAAAAGCTATTTTATCAATTTTAGAATAAGGCTGTAACCTACCACAATGTGGAAAAAGTCAAGGAGTCTGAATACTTTCTGAAGGCACTGTATGTAGCCTAAGAAACAAGGTTCATGAAGTCAGTAACTTGCTTGTAACAGATTACATTCATATTCTGCCTATCTCTGAAACTCACTTAGATAATACCTTTGATGATACAGTTGTGTAGTGATTCTTATGTTGATAATGTAAAGAATATTTGCTGGTCTATGATGTGTAATGAGGAGCAACCGGACGCTGCAATTGACTATGAAATGGCTTATTCCAGTTACAAATGAGCATGCACCCATTAAGAAAATAACTGTAAAAACTGTTAAATTCCCTTGGATTGATGAAGAATTTAAAAATGCTATGGTTGAGAGGGATGATACAAAAGGTATGGCAAATATGTCTGGCAGCAAAATCGATTGGCAAACGTTCTTCAAATTGAGTGTCACGGATTCTGCCGAGGCTGCTCCTCCTCCTTGCTCGGGCAGGCTTCGGCGTTCGTCGTCCCTGGAGTACTAGCTACTGCCGATCGATGTTTTCGGTGTTTGTCTTGTGTTGTCTAGTTCATACACCTGTTGCTTATTAGTGTTGATTGTGTAGCATATAAGTTCCCTTGTTTTACGTTTGGCCTTTGTGTGTTATTGTGTATTGTCTCGTTGATGTTCGGCATAGCTATTTCGCCTCATTACGCACAGGCTGTTTTTCCCCTCCAGTGTTTTGGAGACTTTTGTTTGTGCGTTTGCATTCAGTAAAGTAGTCATCCTGATTCTCTGTGTCCTGCGTCTGACTTCACTTGCCGCATACACATCACCCTTTTGACAGAATAACACACCCACCATGGAGTCAGCAGGACCAGCGGTGGTAACGGAGTCTCTAGAGGAGCACGTCAGCAGCCAGGACGCCATGATCCGAAGACTCGGCACTGCCATGCAGGATGTGATGGACACTTTGAGCCGATGGGAAAGAGGAGGTTTTCCCACACCTCCTCCTACAATACCACCACCATCGGCCAGACCCATCGTTCCATCTCCGGAGTCCAGTGGGATTCGGCTCTCGCTCCCGAGGGCATATGATGGCACCGCAGCCGGGTGTCAGGGTTTCCTAGTTCAAGTAGAACTCTACCTGGCAACCATTCACCCGGCGCCCTCGGGATACGAGAGCGTTTCCGCCCTCATCTCCTGTCTATCCGGCAAGGCATTGGAGTGGGCCAATGCCGAATGGAGGGGAATAGACGCCGCCACCATCAGTTATGCGGAGTTCTCCTGCCACTTCAGGGCGGTTTTCGATCATCCCCCAGAGGGGAAAGCGGCGGGGGAGCGTCTGTTCCACCTCCGATAGGGGAAGAGGAGCGTGCAAGAGTTCGCCCTGGATTTCCGGACTCTGGCGGCCAATGCGGGGTGGAATGAGAGGGCCCTCATCGACCACTATCGGTTTAGCCTACGGGAGGACGTTCGCCGAGAGTTGGCCTGCAGGGACACCAACCTGAGCTTCGATCAGTTGGTGGACATGTCGATCCGTCTGGATACCCTGCTGGCTACCCGCGGACGTCCGTAGTTGGGGCCGTCCATTCCATCCCCCAGCACCTCCGAGCCGAGCCCTATGGAGCTCGGGGGTGCTGGTGCTAGAGAGAGGAGGAGAGAGAACCGGAGAGAGGCCGTCCCCTGCACCAACTGTGGCCGTAGAGGACACACTGCGGTTCGGTGCTGGGGAGGGTCTCCTGGGGATCGAGGCAACAGGTCACGCACTGATGAGTCATTTCAGGTGAATAGGCGCCCAACTCACCCAGAGCTCTCTGTTGTCCACTTGTGTATTCAAGTTGAATTTCCCCAGGTTTCATCTCATTCCCAGCATAAGGCGCTAGTCGATTCAGGCGCAGCTGGGAATTTTATTGATCGTAATTTCTGTGATAAGTTAGGGATTCCCCTCCTACCAGTAGATGTGCCTTTCCCTATCCATGCCCTAGACAGCCATCCTTTGGGGAGAGGATTAATTAGGGAGGTCACGGCGCCACTAAAGATGAAGACGCAGGGGGGTCATGAGGAAATCATACAGTTGTATCTGATCGAATCTCCTGCATTTCCCGTGGTGCTGGGGCTTCCTTGGTTAATATCTCATGACCCCAACATATCGTGGCAACAGAGGGCTCTCAGGGAGTGGTCTGATCAGTGTGTCGGGCGGTGTATAGGTGTTTCCGTAGGGGCGACCACGGTGGAAAGTCCGAACCAAATGCCCGCACTGCACATTCCTCCTGAGTATAATGATTTGGCACTCATCTTCAGTAAGAAGAGGGCGACACAATTACCACCTCATAGACAGGGGGATTGTGCGATAGACCTTCAGGCAGGTGCTGCACTTCCGCGTAGTCATGTGTGTCCTCTGTCTCAAGTGGAGACGGCGGCTATGGAGACATACATCGCCGAATCTCTGGGACAGGGATACATACGGCCCTCCACTTCTCCTGCGTCCTCAAGTTTCTTTTTTGTGAAGAAGAAGGATGGAGGTTTGCGCCAGTGTATTGATTACCGTAGTCTCCATCAGATCACTGTTAAATACAGTTATCCTCTCCCTCTGATTGCGAGTATGACGGAGTCATTACACGGAGCGCTTACAACCTGGTGTGCATTAGGGAGGGAGATGAATGGAAAACAGCATTTAGTACCA